TTTCTTAGAACTTTTTTGTAAAACCTTTTTTATAAATTTTTTTACTACAGTTTTTGTTGTAAAAGCTTTGTACTAAAGTTTTTTTAATAAGCTTTCTACTAAAGCTCTTTAGTAAAAGCTTCATATTAAATTTTTTTTCATATGAACTTTATAATTAAATTGTAAGGTTTATAATTAAAGCTTTTTTTTAAAGATTTTTTTAAATGTATTCTCACATTAAGCTTTTTTAAAACTTTTTGGATTAAGCATTCTCAAGCAAAGTATTTTATAATACAAGTCTTAAAAATGGCTTAACAAATATTTTAAAATTAAATTTGATATAAAAAGCTTTTTCTAAAAAATACTTAATAAAAGCTTTTTAAATAAGCTCTTTCGCAAAAAGCTGCATGAAGTCAAAATTTGTTTTTCTTTCTTTTTATTATTTGTGGAAGCTTCTCAAAAGAAGTTTGTCTATTAAAATTTGTTTACTAAAGCTTTTTGCCCTTTTGTAGAGGAAATTTTATTGGCTCAAGCAAGCTTTAGTTTGGTCAATTATTTATTTTAGCTTTTTAAAAAGATTCATTTTTAAAATTTTTTACATTTTTTTATAAAAATCTATCTATGTAAAAGTAGTTCCTGTATAAAAATTTAGCAAAGCTTCCTCTTTTCAAATAATTTATTCCACAAAACTTTTTAAATACATTTTTTTTATTTTAAATAAAAGCTTTCTGTATTTTAACATACAATATTATTTTATTTTTGAAAATTGTCACGTTTATTATATGCTAATTTTAGCTTCAAACTCATTAACAAATTTGACACATATTTGAAAGCTTTCTTCTTGTGTCTTTTTGTTGTGCGAGTGGCCTGACACCAAATTACAACGAAAGCTTTTAGGTCAACAATTTTTTATTAGCTTGAAAATCATATACAATTTATTTATAAGGGAATTTAGAATATAACAACATGTGGAACTAAAGTTGAAAGTTAAAACCCTAAAGCGCAGATGTACGAAGAGAGTATCACACTTAACACTCTCCAGAGTGAATACACTAGTTATAATATTTTATTTTTATTAGTTTTCTATTTTAGTAAAGCATTGTAAGTCGAAAAAATGTATTAACTAAACAAAAAATCTCGAATAAAAACTAAAAAAAAAACAATCCCCTCAAACAGCAAAAGTGACGTTGGTCCTTTGTTTGAAATAGATATGTAAAGAAAAACAGGCGAGTTTTAAATACGTCAAAACTTCAGTATACTCAAATATAAATGACCTCACTTCAGAACTACTCTTTCCCACTTTAAAATGGAAATGCGGAGCAGTAGAATAGAAAAAAATCTTCTAAAAGAAATTTAAAACCGGTAGTCAATGTTGAACGGAAGGAAGATAAAATATGGCGGAGAAAGAGAGAGGGAAAGTTTATGAGCTGAAAACATTAAAAAGCAGAGAGAGTAAATGAAAATAATTAAATATTGAAACCTTAATAACAATGACAGCGACAGTAACATGACAATAACAATATTATATTAAAAGTGAGGTTAAATTGAAAAGAACAACAAATTTTAAGTGTCTAAAATGGCAAACATAATGAGACAGACAGAGAGGACACAAAAAGCACAGAGGATGAACCAAAAATGTGCATAAAAGCTTAATGAGACATTAGACTGTAAACATAAATTAATTAATTAAAATAAAAAATTAATGTTTTTAGTTTTAACAAAAGTAGAGGAAGCCTAAAAATTAATTATAATAGGCATAATTGAAGAAAACAGCGAAAGAGAAGGGAACATGAAGGAATAATTTAAGTGGTCCAGACAAAAGTCTAGTTTAAAATCTAGTTCATAGTCTAGTCTATAGTAAGATCTTTATTCTAGTCTATAGTCTAGCCTATAGTATAGTCTATAGACTAGTTTATAGTCTAGTCTATAGTCTAGTCTATAGTGTAGTAAACGGACTAGTTATATGTGGTCTAGTCTATAGTCTAGTCTATAGTCTAGTATAAAGTCTAGCCTATAGACTAGTATATAGTCTAGTCTTTAGTCTAGTCTATAGTCTAGTCTATAGTCCAGTCTATAGACTAGTCTATAGTCTAGTCTATAGTCTAGTCTATAGTCTAGTCTATAGTCTAGTCTATAGTCTAGTCTATAGTCTAGTCTATAGTCTAGTCTATAGTCTAGTCTATAGTCTAGTCTATAGTCTAGTCTATAGTCTAGTCTATAGTCTAGTCTATAGTCTAGTCTATAGTCTAGTCTATAGTCTAGTCTATAGTCTAGTCTATAGTCTAGTCTATAGTCTAGTCTATAGTCTAGTCTATAGTCTAGTCTATAGTCTAGTCTATAGTCTAGTCTATAGTCTAGTCTATAGTCTAGTCTATAGTCTAGTCTATAGTCTAGTCTATAGTCTAGTCTATAGTCTAGTCTATAGTCTAGTCTATAGTCTAGTCTATAGTCTAGTCTATAGTCTAGTCTATAGTCTAGTCTATAGTCTAGTCTATAGTCTAGTCTATAGTCTAGTCTTATAGTCTAGTCTATAGTCTAGTCTATAGTCTAGTCTATAGTCTAGTCTATAGTCTAGTCTATAGTCTAGTCTATAGTCTAGTCTATAGTCTAGTCTATAGTCTAGTCTATAGTCTAGTCTATAGTCTAGTCTATAGTCTAGTCTATAGTCTATTCTATAGTCTAGTCTATAGTCTAGTCTATAGTCTAGTCTATAGTCTAGTCTATAGTCTAGTCTATAGTCTAGTTATAGTCTAGTCTATAGTCTAGTCTATAGTCTAGTCTATAGTCTAGTCTATAGTCTAGTCTATAGTCTAGTCTATAGTCTAGTCTATAGTCTAGTCTATAGTCTAGTCTATAGTCTAGTCTATAGTCTAGTCTATAGTCTAGTCTATAGTCTAGTCTATAGTCTAGTCTATAGTCTAGTCTATAGTCTAGTCTATAGTCTAGTCTATAGTCTAGTCTATAGTCTAGTCTATAGTCTAGTCTATAGTCTAGTCTATAGTCTAGTCTATAGTCTAGTCTATAGTCTAGTCTATAGTCTAGTCTATAGTCTAGTCTATAGTCTAGTCTATAGTCTAGTCTATAGTCTAGTCTATAGTCTAGTCTATAGTCTAGTCTATAGTCTAGTCTATAGTCTAGTCTATAGTCTAGTCTATAGTCTAGTCTATAGTCTAGTCTATAGTCTAGTCTATAGTCTAGTCTATAGTCTAGTCTAGTCTAGTCTATAGTCTAGTCTATAGTCTAGTCTATAGTCTAGTCATATGTCTAGTCTATAGTCTAGTCTATAGTCTAGTCTATAGTCTAGTCTATAGTCTAGTCTATAGTCTAGTCTATAGTCTAGTCTATAGTCTAGTCTATAGTCTAGTCTATAGTCTAGTCTATAGTCTAGTCTATAGTCTAGTCTATAGTCTAGTCTATAGTCTAGTCTATAGTCTAGTCTATAGTCTAGTCTATAGTCTAGTCTATAGTCTAGTCTATAGTCTAGTCTATAGTCTAGTCTATAGTCTAGTCTATATCTAGTCTATATCTAGTCCATAGTCTAGTCTAAGTCTAGTCTCTAGTCTAGTCTATTAGTCTAGTCTATAGTCTAGTCTATATCTATTCTATAGTCTAGTCCTATAGTCTGTCTATAGTCTATGCGATATCGAGTCTATAGATCTAAGTCTATAGTCTAGTCCCTATAGGTCTAGTCAATAGTCTAGTCCCTATAGTCTATAGTCTAGTATAGTCTAGTCTATAGTCTAGTCTATCGTCTGAGTCTATAGTCCTATCTATAGTCTAGTCTATAGTCTAGTCTATAGTCTAGTCTATAGGTCTAGTCTATAGTCTAGTCTATAGTTCGAGTCCTATGTCTAGTCTATAGTCTAGTCTATAGTCTAGTCTATAGTCTAGTCTATAGTCTAAGTCTATAGTCTAGCTCTATAGTCTAGTCTATAGTCTAGTTCTATAGTCAGTCTAGTAGGTCTATTCTAGTCTATGTCTAGTCTATAGTCTAGTCTATAGTCTAGTCTATACTAGTCTAGTCCATAGTCTATAGTCTAGTCTATAGTCTAGTCTATAGTCTAGTCTATAGTCTAGTCTATAGTCTAGTCTATAGTCTAGTCTATAGTCTAGTCTATAGTCTAGTCTATAGTCTAGTCTATAGTCTAGTCTATAGTCTAGTCTATGATCCAGTCTATAATCTAGTGTATAGTCCAGTCTATAGTCTAGTCTATAATCTAGTCTATAGTCTAGTCTATAGTTTAGTCTCTAGTTTAGTCTATAGTCTAGTCTATAGACTAGTCTATAGTATAGTCTATAGACTAGTCTATAGTATAGTCTACATTCTGGTCTATAGTCTGGTCTATAATCTAGTCTATTATCTAGTCTATAGTCTAGTCTATAGTCCAGTCTATAGTCTAGTCTATAGTCCAGTCTATAGTCTAGTCTATAGTCTAGTTTATATTATAGTCTACAGTCTAGTCTATAGTCTAGTCAATAGTCTAGTTAATAGTCCAGTCTATAGTTTAGTCTATAGTTGATAGTGTAGTCTAGAGTCTAGTCTATAGTTGATAGTGTAGTCTAGAGTGTAGTCTATAGTTAAGTCTATAGGTGAGTCTATAGTCTAGTCTAGAGTATAGTTTATAGTCTTGCTATGATCCATGCTAAAACCTTGTCCACATTATTTCATATAATGTTTTCCATAGTCCATAATTTTTTTAAAGTTTTCTTTTAATCAAAAATTTCGCAAACATTTTCCATAAATATAGATTTTTTTCAAAAATGTTCCCCTGATGTAAAGGTTTTTCTCGAAAATATGATAAAGAGTGAGTTTGGACCCTTAAATTTTGTTACAAAAAACAATCGATTTTTTTTTGGTTTTTTCAAAATTTTATTTTAAACATAAATTTTTGTGGGTTAGTTGTTGCTTTTATAGACTGAGAGTTAAATGGTTGCTTAATAGGTCGATATATTTGGTTTGCTGGCCCTTAGAGAGTGTGTAATTTTGTTGTTTTGCAAAGAATAGCTACGATCATACTCACTTAAGTTGTCTATCACGATGCCAAACGGCCATTTGTAAACGATCATCTTCATCTAAATCCTCTAAAGCTTGAGATAAATCGGACAGATCGAATTTGAAGCAATGATCAAAATAGGGACGACTAGAATGACGATGTACAGCGGTGCGTTGAAAACCTTGATGTTCAGTTTGATTCTTTTGTATCAAAGCCACCTTGACATAAGCATTGAGATTGGAAGAACCGTTGCTGCGCTGTAAATCACGACAGCGAATGACTGAAAAAGAAAGAAAAGAGGCTATTAATTGGTTGTTCGGAAACTTTAACTAAATTTGGAACTCACCATGTACATTTAAGGATTCCTGTTCTTTATAAATGGCCACGTCAAGAGAACCCTTTACGGTATTTGCTGTCAATGAAGAAGAACTACCACTTAATTGCTCTTGTGTCGAACTGGCTATGCTAGAGGCCACTGAGCTTCTTTTATGCAAGTGTTGATAATCATCCTCTTCCTCACTGTTACAGGAGAAACTTAAACATCTCTTTATGGAGGGTAGCTCTTCTAGAGTTGGTGTACTACATCTTTGTATATCATTTTCCACCTCAAAGGTCAGGTGTTGGGGTGGAGTTTCCATATTTAATAAAGCTTTTTGTGTTTGAGAATTCTTAAATAAAGGGGTCTCAGGACTGGGTATGCCATTGGGTAGAGTTAAGCCTATCATTTCGTTTTCTCGGTTATCCTTTTTTACTTCCATTTCCTCTAGAGTTTTGTTTAAGGTTTTGGTTTCTTCTTTGGGCTTCTCTTTTTTGTTCTTTTTCACCGTGTTCTTGGGATTTTTTCTTCTCACTACTCTCTGCCTCTTCAAATGCTGCGGCGTTCTTACTTCCATTTCATGTATGCTCTCCTCATTAGCTGGATTCTCTTGTTGGTTATTCTCTTCAATGCGCTTATGCAGACACTTGGGTTTCACCTCTTTACGGGCACTTTCTATAATGGCATCCAACATTCTATCCAAAGTAACATCTCCCATTCTGGAGGAAGACAAAGAATCCTCTTTCAATTTGTTTCTAAATTTCAATCTCGACAAGGGCGTCACATCATCTTCCTCGGCAAAGTCATCCGAAAATCTAGGTGTCATTTCCCCCCCAGCATTATTATTTCCCGTAGGAGTCATTTCCATAGTAGTTACCGCGGCTGTATTAAACCTCTTAATGTTTAAGGTTAAAGGAGTAGGGGGTGTAGCTTGTTCTTGAGACCTTCTAGGACTCTTGCCATTACTGAGATCATGCAGAGCCGTTAGACTAGTATTGCCAAAAGAGTTGCGCATAAAGTGTACACCAAAATTCTCCTTATTATGATTACCCGTCAAAGAATGGCGTGATCTACGACGTTCTTCCAAAGGAGAATCTAAAAGATTGTCTAAAGAACGGCGGTGTATACGTCTTTCTAAGGTATGAGTCATGGTGGGCATTTTTTGAACGTGGGATGGATGGTCAGAGCTGGTAGTGTAACGTGTTTGGCGAGGTTTGCTGGAGGCGTCGATAGAAGATTTTAAAGTAGAGGATTGTGGGAAATTTGTAGAATTACGAGAGTTTTGAGTATTGGAGGACGGTTGCGAAAGAGTTTGAAAGAGTTGAAGATTTTGTTGTTGTTGTTTGGTCCACTTAAGCATTAAGATTGCTGGTAGCTGGGAAGGAGGGTTGCTGTAAGAGCTGTAAGGATAGAAAGGATAGAAAAAAGGTGGTTAAAATAAGGATCAATATAAATCTGACAGTTTCAAGGACAAACAGAAACATCCTGCCCTCCAACGCTTAAAGCTGTGAGTATTTACTAAAATCACATAAAGAGAAAAGTTTAGAAGGATCAGAAAGACCTTATACATTCTTCTTTACAGCCTTTAAAATGTTAGTATATGTTATAAGAGATGATTTGTAAAGAAAAGAGAGGTCTGAAGGACCACATGCATGATGCTCCATAAACCTGAAAAGTGTGACTATTAGCTAAAAGTGGTGTTTCAAATAAAATTTAATTCACTAGCGTTCAGAAGGACCGCAAACATCCTGCTTTGCAGCTCCTTTACAACCTTTAAAGAAGTTAGTATTTGCTAAATGTGGTAGTTTGTAAAGAGGTGAGTTAAGTAGGGTCAGAAGGACCTTAAGCAGAAGGACCAAAGGTGCGAGTATTGGCTAAAAGTGGTGGTTTATCTAAAGGTGAATTTACTAGTGTTCGGAAGGACCACCATTATCCTGCTTTTCAACTCTTAGAGGTGTAGATTTTAGCTAAAAGTGGTGGCTTGCAAAAAGGTGAGTTCTTTAGCTTTGAGAGATGGATTTAAAGGAGGTGCCTTTAGCAATCTTTCAAGGTGAATTTGTTCTCAACTGTAGTGGAGTTGAACATGGTGAAGTTGGCTATAAAAAGAGGTTATTTTACTTGCTCAACAAAGGTGAATTAAACTAGAGTTGAGTTTATTTTAACAGTTACTTGTCGTTGGTGTGTGTCTTGGCTAATTAAACTATTTACCTCTAAAACACTGAGAGAAAATATGAGCTAAATTCATAATCATCATGTTTAGTTCCCCACAAATATACAATAATATTATAAAAATATCGAAATGGGCTACAAGTGGTACAAATGTCCTGATACCATCCCTGCAAAATCCCAATAATAAACGCAGAGTATTCAACTAAATTTGAATGGAATTAAGTGGTTTACAATTGTATAGAATCTTAAGTTATTATTTTTTATAGAAATTTCTAGAGGAACAACATTTTAACTTGTTCTCTTTTCTTCTTAATTTCTTACTTATAATTTTATTAATAAACCCTACTTATTCTTACCCTAAATAAACCATTAAACTACAAAACCATTTATTTGTTTGTCCAATGTAATACATTGTTTAGCAGATCCTTTTGAACAAGACTCAATTGTTGTTCCTGTTTAATTGCTGCTGCAATAAGGCACAATATAAAAAAGGATATTTTCATACATTTTTGCATGCTTTTTTTATACAAAGTACTTAAACGGTGCTTATTAAGAGGGTCCTTGACATTGTCCCTACTAAGCATGTGCATTTATGTTTTAAACGTTTTTATTTTTTATAAACTGTGCGTTTTAGCATTTAACATTTATTATAATAAAATAAAAACCCTTTTTAGGTTTCTTAAAATGAAGTAATTTTTATCATAATTATAATAAAATATTTGATTTATGCTTCCAAGGTTTCTTCTAGATCAAGATAAAGTTGTAAATAGCATGACAATTTAATTTCAATTTTAAATGAAATAATAAAGGCAATAACTAAGTAAGGTAGTGACTAACTAACTAACTACTAACTAACTAACTAACTAACTAACTAACTACTAACTAACTAACTAACTAACTAACTAACTAACTAACTAACTACTAACTAACTACTAACTAACTAACTAACTAACTAACTAACTACTAACTAACTAACTAACTAACTAACTAACTACTAACTAACTAACTAACTAACTAACTAACTAACTAACTAACTAACTAACTAACTAACTAACTAACTAACTAACTAACTAACTAACTAACTAACTACTAACTAACTAACTAACTAACTAACTAACTAACTAACTAACTAACTAACTAACTAACTACTAACTAACTACTAACTAACTAACTAACTAACTAACTAACTACTAACTAACTAACTAACTAACTAACTAACTAACTAACTACTAACTAACTACTAACTAACTAACTAACTAACTAACTAACTAACTAACTAACTAACTAACTAACTAACTAACTACTAACTAACTAACTAACTAACTAACTAACTAACTAACTAACTAACTAACTAACTAACTAACTAACTAACTAACTAACTAACTAACTAACTAACTAACTAACTAACTAACTAACTAACTAACTAACTAACTAACTAACTAACTAACTAACTAACTAACTAACTAACTAACTAACTAACTAACTAACTAACTAACTAACTAACTAACTAACTAACTAACTAACTAACTAACTAACTAACTAACTAACTAACTAACTAACTAACTAACTAACTAACTAACTAACTAACTAACTAACTAACTAACTAACTAACTAACTAACTAACTAACTAACTAACTAACTAACTAACTAACTAACTAACTAACTAACTAACTAACTAACTAACTAACTACTAACTAACTAACTAACTAACTAACTAACTAACTAACTAACTACCTAACTAACTAACTAACTAACTAACTAACTAACTAACTAACTAACTAACTAACTACTAACTAACTAACTAACTAACTAACTACTAACTAACTTACTAACTAACTAACTACTAACTACTAACTAACTAACTAACTAACAAACTAACTAACTAACTAAGTCTCTTCTTAAGTAAAGAAATTTCTCATTTTTCAAAATTTTATTCTAAGTTGCTTCTTTCAAAGCCCAAGAACTTTGGTTACATAAATCGTATGAGGATCATAGTTTGCATCGTAAAAGGTGAGTCCTTGAAGTGTAATATTTTGAAAAAAAAAAACTTTGATTGATCGCAAACTTTCTTTTTAGTGAACGTAAACTTTTGAGGATTCATTTCCTATGAAGAAAATCCTTTTTATTCTATTTGATTTCTTCACATTTCCTTCCTCTCCTTATCTTCCTACTAAAATCTTTCTTCCAACTACAGCTGCTTTGATATCTATAAGCACTATTTAATGATCAATGATTTACAGTTAAAACTATTACATTGCACTCCCAAATGATAGATTACTTGTCTGCTAGCTAAGGTATATAAGATACCACACTATGCAAATAAGGATTAAAAACTTGTCTAGCAGACAAATTACACACGCACCTTGACTAAAAATATTATGCGGGTTTTGAGTACAAGAACAAGACTAGACAGAATATAATTTAATAAATTTTCATAATTTTTGTTTTTATAAAAACTGCAGCTGTAAATTGCAAAAATTACTTAGGCTAGAGTTAGTAATGAGGAAATATAAGACTTCTAGAGAGAGAGAGGGGGTGTTTTTTTATTGTGTAAGACAATAGCAAGGTTAAAACAATTGCTAAAACTGTAGGTGTCTGAAGTTATTTCTTCTAGAATAGTTAAGGTTACTTTGAAGATTTTTGCTAGGAAATAGAAAACCAAATTGCAAAAATTTAAGATTTAAAAGAAAAAAATATGAATAGAATTATAAATATAAAGAGGAACAAAGAAGCCGCTTTTTGGCAAAAGATTTTTTATAGATTGTTAATAGTTTTCTTTTATAAAGAAACAAAAGAAATGGTATCATTGACAATAGAGGTATTAAGAAAATGTCACTAAGGGAATAACAAAAAATTTTCAATAAATTGAAAGAAAGATAAAGAAACTAAGGACGGGATTTAAGAGCCAAAAAAGGTGTTTTACAAAATTCTAAAAGAAAACAATTAATGCATAGTAAATTCTTTAAGAAAAAAAGAATAAACCCAGGTTTTGTTAGGAACTTAGAAAGCTTTTAGTAAAAGAAGAAAATTTAAAAAATTTTATATTTTTATGAAATTCAAAGTCCGATATCTTTGATAATCTTTAAATAAAGTGATATATTTTTACAATTATAAATCTACTAAGGTGTTAGCTTTATAGCCTGAGGAAATTAAAGGAACTGAATTGCATTTAACAAAGTTATAGAACTTTTATTAAAACTTTATCAAGCTAATTCTATAAAAAAAACTTCAAAAAATTTAATTTTTGGGAAAATTTTAAATCAGATATCTTAGATAATATTAAAGAAAAATGGGATATTTTTAGAATTATATAAGAAATAAGGTGTTGTCTTTGCGGTGGTGGAATATCTTACTAATTCCTTGTTTTATTGCAAAGTTATAAAGCTTTTAACAAAAGTGAAAATTTTGAAAAGTATGACTTATTTCTCTAGAATAGAAACTAAAATTTTTTGCGGATTCTTAAAGCAAAGTGAATGATTCTTCCAGTTGTATATGAGTTAAGGTGTTGTCTTCATTATCTGTGGAAATCACAGAAATTTAAGTTCAAATTATTAAGTTAAAAAGCTTTCTTTGTCTTATAACAAAGTTAAAAAGCTTTCAATAAAAGTGAACATTTAAAAAAAAATTAATTTTTTTCTAAAATTTTAACTAAAATTTCTCAGAATATCTTAAAGTAAAATTAAATATTTTTCCACCTATATATGGGTTAAGGTGTTGTCTCCATTGTCTTTGGAAATCAAAGAAATTAGGATTAAATTCTTAAAGTTATAAAACTTTTAATAAAAGTGAAAATTTTCAAAAATTTTAAAATTTTTTCCAATTTTAATTACACATAACTTGAGTAATTTTAAAGCAAATTGAGATATTTTGTTATATAAAGAACTGTTAAGGTGTTGTCTTTGTTTTACGAAAAAATCTCGATGAACAAACTTTTAATAACAATGTTAGAAAACTTTCAATAAAAGTGAAAACTTTAAAATTTTTTTCTTATAATTTTGTCCTTTTTTATTCTTACAAATTGCTCTTTATATTTAGATTTCTTAAGCAGAAAATTTGAGCAAATTCCCTGCCACCCTTAAAAAAGGCTTTGCCAGTTAGGCAAAACCTGTAAAGCAACAAAATTTACTAATTTCTAGACAGATTTTTTGGGCACTAATATAAGACAACATTTCAAATTTGCACAAAAAAACCCCAGCTATTGCTAATAATTTTTAGCAAATTTTAGATAAAAAGACCTAAGAGACATTGTTTAAAACAAATAAATCCAGTTTTGGTCTCATATTGTAAAAGTTTTTCTTTCAACTCTTAGACTGTTAAATGAAGATCCTTTTAGTTTTTTGCGGATTTTTTCCCTCTTTGCAAAATTATAAAATATTTAAACCAGTTTTTTTCTTTCTTAAAGATTTCAATCATATAGTTTTTATTCTTTGCAAAAAAAGGTCGTACGTCTGCGTTCTTTTGTTATACATATATTAGCAATACACACATGAAATTTTTCTTCCAAAATTCTTTAAAGTTTCTTTCTTTGATATCTCTGGACATTATTAGTTTGGTTTTGTTTACGCGGCTATTTAGAGGTATGTATTTGTATTGAAATTCATTTAATTTTATGCCTTACGAATTTGTCTGCTTGACCAGTGAGACAGTGAATGAATAAGTGCCTTAATGGTTACTGGTGGTTGGTGTTGAACACTTTTTTTGGGGAAGTTTTATTGAAAGTCTGGTTTTTGCAAAAAAAAAAAAAAAAAACAATCCAATACAAATTGCCTTAAAATCACACAGTCTTAAAGTATTTACTTATGTGGAAAAGAAGATGCTTTAAAATAATAACAAATACACTAAGAGAAAATATAAAATTTAATTTTTGCAAAAAAATATTTATAGATTCTTCCCATTTGTCTTAAATTCTATTTTAAAATGAAACAAAAACAAAAAATTTCCAAAAAGTACCAAAATTTTCAAAAAGAATTTTTCGTTTTTTTTTGTACCAGGAAAGTACCCGAAAGTTACCTAAGGCAACAAAAAGTTTTAGATTCCCTCTATTTGTTTAAAATTCTACACAAAAAGTAAAGAAAATCCAAAATTTCCAAAAAATACCAAAATTTTCAAAAATTACTTTTAGTTTTTTTGTTCCACAAAAGTACCCGAAAGGTACCTGAAATGTACCCAAAAGTAATCAAAGGTACCAAAAACTTTTAGATTTCCTCTATTTAGCTAAAATTCTTCAAAAAAAAAGTAAAAAAAAACAAAATTTTCAAAAAGTACCAAAATGTTCAAAAATTACTTTTTGTTTGTATTTGTAACCGAAAAGCACCACAAAATTCCACAAATTTCTAACAGATTTTAATTAAACTTAATAGATTATTTCTATTTGTTTAAAATTTTACGAAAAAAGTAAAAAAACAAAAATTCCCAAAAAGTGCCAAAATTTCGAAAAAGTACTTTTCGTTTTCCTACACTTTTCATATCCAAACTCGCATAAAACTATGCTATCTGATCTATACCCTTAATTTTGTTAAAACATTTTGTCATAAATCAAGCTTAATTAACAATTTTCCATAGCTTAAAAAAGTACCAAAAAAGTACTTTTTGATTTTTAAGGGATTTTGTACTAGAAATTTTAGCAAAAGTTGTTAAATTAATGTTTGAATTTACGAAATTTATGTAAAACTATTGCTTAAATGAGCAATTTTGGGAAATTTTCCATAATTTAAAAAAGTACCAAAAAGGTACTTTTAGTTTTAAAGGGATTTTTACTAAGAAATATGGCAAATTTTATAAAAATTTTACTTAAAAATTACACAATTTATCTAAAACTGATGCTCAATTGAAAAGTTTTCTTTTCTTTAAAAAAAGTACCAAAAGTAGTACCTTTTGATTTTTAAGGGATTTTTGTAACAAAAAATGTGGCAAAATGTTTAAAAATGTTTAAATTTATATCTAAATTTACAAAATTTAAGTAAAACTCATGCTTAGATAGCCAATTTTGGGAAAATGTTCATAATCTAAAAAAGTATCAAAAAGGTACTTTTTGCTTCTAAAGGGATTTTTACTTAGACATGTGGCAAATGTTATGAAAAGTGTTTAAATTTAAGTTTAAATTACTTAATTTAAGTAATACTGTTAATTAATTTTTCATATTTCCCACAATTTGCAAAAAGTACCTAAAAAGTACTTTTTGGATGTATTCTAGGGATTTTGTACTATAAAGTGTGTAAAATTTAAAAAAGTTGTTTAATATATGTTTGAGTTTACAAATTTTAAGTAAAACTTAGGTATAATATTGAAATATTTAACAATTTAAAAATGTATCAAAAAAGTACTTTTTTGAATTTTAGGGAATTTTTGTTACAAAATTTGTTAGTTTTATGAAAATTACTAAGAATATCATTGTTTTATACCGTTTACTTAGATTTTCATGGATTATAAGTGGATCTTAACTAAATTACAGAATTTTTACTCATTTTAAAAAAGTACCAAAAAAGTACTATTTGGAAATTTAAGGGATTTTTGTTAGAAATTTTGATAGTTTTATGAAAATTGCTTAATATACGATAGATTTACACCGGTTTTCTAAGTATTGTTGTGTTATAAGAAGATATTTGCCGAATCTAAAAAGTTTTCGATATTTAGAAAATGTACCAAAAAAGTACTTTTTAAATTTAAGGGATTTTTGTTAGAAATTTTGGTAGTTTTATAAAAATTGCTTAGAATATGAATAATTGGCGCTGTTTACTTAGTTTTTATTGACATAGAAGTAGATATTTACTAAATTACAAAGTTTTTACACATTTTGAAAAACTACCAAAAAGTACCTTTTTGATATTTAAGAGATCTTTATTAGAAATTTTGATAGTTTTATGAAAATTGCTTAATATACGATAGATTTACACCGGTTTCTTAAGTTTTGTTGTATTATAAGGAAATATTTGCAAATCTAAAAAGTTTCGATATTTAGAAAAAGTACCAAAAAAGTACTTTATGAATTTTAGGGGATTTTTGTTAGAAATGTTGGTAGTTTTATAAAAATTGTTTAAAATGCACTGTTACTTATGTTTTCTTGGAAAATAAGTTGAAATTTACTAAAATTTTAAATTTGGACATTTTTAAAAAAGTACCAAAAAAGTACTTTTTCAAATTTAGGAGATATTTGTTAGATATTTTGCTAGTTTTTTAAAAATTGTTTAAAATGTGATTGATTTGCACTGTTTTCTGAGGGTTTGCTAAATTTCAAAACTTTTACCCTGTTTTTTTAAAAAAGTAGCAGAAAAGTACTTTTTTAATTTTTCAAAATTTTTATGATTTTTGAGCTATTTTTGTTCAGATATGTTTATATAACTTAATTTGCGTAAAATTTTTCCAATTATAAAAAAGTACCAAAAAAAGTACTTTTTGCCTTTAAAGGGATTTTGGTTAAAATTTTGTTAGTTTTATAAAAATTCCTTAACAAATGATTGATTTACATTGTTTTCTTAGGTTTTCTGGTGATATAAGTAGATATTTTCTTTAAGTTTTCACAAATCTAATTAATCCCTTTTTTCCCTTTCTTATGAACAACCACATAATCATAATCATATTTTTATATATATTTTTTTATTAATTAAACAAAGGAAAGTTATGATTTTGATTGAGCGGGTTTTTTTGTATGAGTTCCTAAGAAAAATGTTCAAGGTGTTTAAAAGGGATCGTGTCTTTCTTAAAACATAAAACGTATATAGATCACATTTTTGTTTTTCTGGGTGAAAACATTTAAGCCTAAGGCTTAAATAAGAACAATAATTTTGAGAAAAGAAAAAAAGAAACAAAAAAAGGATACAATGTAATCTATAAACGTCACCCTAAAGTAACAGAAATCTTACCCTCAAAATTTATCAATCTGGCTATGGGTACCTTTTTTTTGCTGCAGCCTAGATTAGCCTAGACAAAGGGACTGTCTTAGTGTTTCAGAATTCGGGGAGGTTTTTTTTTCGAATTAATTAAGTAAAATTAAATTTAGAGCATTTGATGGTTGTATAGAAAAAAGTAACAAAAATTTCAAGGTTGTTAAGAAAGCATACTCGTCCTTTAAAAGGATGAATGAGAAAAATGGGTTGGTTGAGAAAATTAGCAAAAGGAAAACAAAATGTTTTTCTTAGGCGGTATTGTAATAACTAAAAAAAAGGGAAAGGAAGTGGTAATTTTTTATTACTATTAAGGAAGTAAAAGGGGGAGGAGTTTAAGAAGAATGTTCCACACGCTTAAATTATATAAAATTTATTTAAAGGGCGTTTAACACAAACAATAATTAAACTTAAAATATTACAAAAATAAAATAATTAAAATTTCACAACTTACCTTAAGCAAATGTTTCTTAAATTAACGAAATTTTGTCCAACTTTTGCTGCTTATAAACTTTCTAAAGACTTAAAAACATTTTAAACTAATTTCTTTAAATTTTATCAAACAAACTTAATACTTTTTTTTAACAAAAAAAACTTAAAGAAAAACATAAAACAAAACGAAAATTTAACAAGTCTTTTTCTATAGCACACATTAACTCATGTGCAAAAAATTTTTAATTTTATCACTTTTTTTATTATAAAATTTAAGGCCACAAAACCTTTGCGTAGATCCTTCACGTACGAGTGTAGAAACACGAATGTTTTGGTTTTATCTTAACTTGTAAATCAAGAATTTTTGCGCCTGTTCCTACTTTTTGCTCACACTCTCTCTACTACAAAAACAACCGGTTGCATATTTCTTCGTTAGTGATCGTTAGCTATTGTCTTCGTGTCTTCTTTGTAAAAACACCCCATTTAGGCGAACAGTTAGTTTTTGTTATTGAGAGTTAAAAACAGTAAACACTTTACCGTTTTTCATACACAAAGAGCGTTAAGAAGAACTCACTTCTTTTGTACTCTGAGATTTAATAAAAAATCCTTACTTGCTGAGATTTATTTTACTAACCTGAGAGTTTTTAAAAGATTGTGAAATAATGTAAAAACTTGAGCTAAGTGCTACTTAATGACCCTAGAGGTCGCTTTGTTGGGGTTTGAAACTTCAATAAATCATGAAGTTAAAATCTTGGCAAAAAATCAAAATAAATTCTTTTAAAGTACTGTCTAACAAAGTTGACAGAAACTAAATATTAAGGCAAGCTAATCAGGAATAGACTATTGAATAGACTATAGACTAGACTATAGACTAGACTATAGGACTAGACTATAGACTAGACTATAGACTAGACTATAGACTAGACTATAGACTAGACTATAGACTAGACTATAGACTAGACTATAGACTAAACTATAGACTGACTATAGACTAGACTATAGACTAGACTATAGACTAGACTATAACTAGACTATAGACTAGGACTATAGACTAGACTCTAGACTAGACTATAGACTAGCTATAGACTTAGACTATAGACTGACTATAGACTAGACTAATAGACTAGACTATAGGACTTAGACTCTAGCTAGACTTATAGACTAGACTATAGACTAGACTATAGACTAGCTATAGACTAGACTATAGACTGACTATAGACTAGACTATAGGACTAGACTATAGACTAGACTATAGACTAGCTATAGCTAGACTTAGCTCGGACTATAGACTAGACTATAGGACTAGACTATAGACTAGACTATAGACTAGACTATAGACTAGACTATAGATAGACTATAGACTAGACTATAGACTAGACTATAGACTAGACTATAGACTAGACTATAGACTAGACTATAGACTAGACTATAGACTAGACTATAGACTAGACTATAGACTAGACTATAGACTAGACTATAGACTAGACTATAGACTAGACTATAGACTAGACTAGACTAGACTATAGACTAGACTATAGACTAGACTATAGACTAGACTATAGACTAGACTATAGACTAGACTATAGACTAGACTATAGACTAGACTATAGACTAGACTATAGACTAGACTATAGACTAGACTATAGACTAGACTATAGACTAGACTATAGACTAGACTATAGACTAGACTATAGACTAGACTATAGACTAGACTATAGACTAGACTATAGACTAGACTATAGACTAGACTATAGACTAGACTATAGACTAGACTATAGACTAGACTATAGACTAGACTATAGACTAGACTATAGACTAGACTATAGACTAGACTATAGACTAGACTATAGACTAGACTATAGACTAGACTATAGACTAGACTAGACTAATAGACTAGGGACTTATGGACCTAACTATAGGACTAGACGATAGACTAGACTATAGGACTAGATATAGACTAGGACTATAGACTAGACTATAGACTAGACTATAGACTAGACTATAGGACTAGACTATAGACTAGACTATAGACTAGACTAGATAGACTATAGAATAGACTATTAGACTTAGACTATAGGACTAGGACTATAGACTAGACTCAGGAGACTAGGACTATAGGACTAGACTATAGGACTAGACTATAGACTAGACTATAGACTAGACTATAGACTAGGACTATAGACTAGACATAGACTAGACTATAGACTAGACTATAGACTAGACTATAGACTAGACTATAGACTAGACTATAGACTAGACTTATAGACTAGACTATAGACTAGATTAATAAGTAATTCACAGTCTAACAGTCTATCCTGCAGACTAGATTATAGTCCAGCTAAAATAGACTATGGTCCTGACTACACTATAGTGTAGACTTCAGAATAAAATATAAACTCGATTTTATTTCATAGTATAGACTCGACTATTGTTTACACTATACTATAGTCCAGACTAAAGATTGTAGCCCAGACTATAGTTTATATATTATATACACGCTACACTATATTCCAGACAATAGACTAGTATACACTCCAAACTAAAGTCCAGACTATATACTACAGCTTAGTATAGTTCAGACTATAAATTAGATTATACTATAGACTATAAACTAGACCAGAGTCCATACTATTAGAATGGAATATAATCCATACTGTTGAATGCTCTACTGTTAAGACTATTGTTATAGTTCAGACTGTAGACTGTAATCTATACTATAAACTACAGTCCAGACTATAGTCAAGTCGCACTATTGTTCAGACTATTGCTCAGACTATAGGCTGGAGTCCAAACTGTAGACTATAATTTAGACAATAGTTCAAACTATAGACTACAGTCAAGATTAAAGACTATAGTTCAGACTGTAGACTGTAATCTATACTATATACTACAGTCCAGACTGTAGACTATAGTGAAATCGGAACTATATTTCCGACTATGGACTATAGTTCAGATTATAATCGAGACTATAAAATAGGCTAGAGTCCAGACTGGATATAGCCCTAACTGTAGACTGTACCATTGTCCATACAGTAAAGTATACTAGAACTCTCACTATATAGACTATAAAATCTTGAAACAAGACCAATAACTAGATTGTAATCCATACTATTGCCCAGTTAGTAAGATAGTTAGTGATTTAGTTAGTAGTTAGTTAGTTAGTTAGTTAGTTAGTTAGTTAGTTAGTTAGTTAGTTAGTTAGTTAGTTAGTTAGTTAGTTAGTTAGTTAGTTAGTTAGTTAGTTAGTTAGTTAGTTAGTTAGTTAGTTAGTTAGTTAGTTAGTTAGTTAGTTAGTTAGTTAGTTAGTTAGTTAGTTAGTTAGTTAGTTAGTTAGTTAGTTAGTTAGTTAGTTAGTTAGTTAGTTAGTTAGTTAGTTAGTTAGTTAGTTAGTTAGTTAGTTAGTTAGTTAGTTAGTTAGTTAGTTAGTAGTTAGTTAGTTAGTTAGTTAGTTAGTTAGTTAGTTAGTTAGTTAGTTAGTTAGTTAGTTAGTTAGTTAGTTAGTTAGTTAGTTAGTTAGTTAGTTAGTTAGTTAGTTAGTTAGTTAGTTAGTTAGTAGTTAGTTAGTTAGTTAGTTAGTTAGTTAGTTAGTTAGTTAGTTAGTTAGTTAGTTAGTTAGTTAGTTAGTTAGTTAGTTAGTTAGTTAGTTAGTTAGTTAGTTAGTTAGTTAGTTAGTTAGTTAGTTAGTTAGTTAGTTAGTTAGTTAGTTAGTTAGTTAGTTAGTTAGTTAGTTAGTTAGTTAGTTAGTTAGTTAGTTAGTTAGTTAGTTAGTTAGTTAGTTAGTTAGTTAGTTAGTTAGTTAGTTAGTTAGTTAGTTAGTAGTTAGTTAGTTAGTTAGTTAGTTAGTTAGTTAGTTAGTTAGTTAGTTAGTTAGTTAGTTAGTTAGTTAGTTAGTTAGTAGTTAGTTAGTTAGTTAGTTAGTTAGTTAGTTAGTTAGTAGTTAGTTAGTTAGTTAGTTAGTTAGTTAGTTAGTTAGTTAGTTAGTTAGTTAGTTAGTTAGTTAGTTAGTTAGTTAGTTAGTTAGTTAGCCTGCTTTGATTGCTCTGTTACTAGTACTGTTTCTTTTAGTTTTTGCTGTTTCCTGTTTATTTCATTTCCTGTTTTCCTTTTTTTATTCAACTTCTGATATTTTACTTTAGATGGCGCTTTCGTTCAATTATTGCTCTTCTTGACTGTTATCTTGTTTTCATACCCAGTGAAAGTGTCAACTAGTGAGAGTAATTTTTCCTTTGAGAGTGTCATTTATCATTGCATTTTCTCGTTTGCTAGAAATCTCTCATTTCTTTAAGAACTCATTAGTAGCCGCTCTTTAAAACAATAATGCTCTTATTGTTACAATTGTTGACAACATCTTCCTGCTTAACTAAAACTGCCAAAGACAAAAACAGGATAATGGCCAAAGGAAGCAAAATGTACTCACTACACGGTTGGTGGTTAAGTTAAAGGCAAAAGCAAAAACAACAAACCACGTGTTTGATCACCTTTAGTTAAGAGAGTAGAAGTTTTTTTTTTTGCTTAAGAAAGGGACATATAGATAAATTTGTCTTGTTTTGGCAAAATCAATAAGTTTGTTTTTTTTTGAAACAAATGACAAAAATCTTTAAGGTTTAAGGCAGATGTTACAGATTTTTTTACCCAAAAAAAAAATTAAACTAAAAACAACAAATCTCGCTTTATATGTTTGGCTGGTTTGATACGATTTTATTGTTGTTTTTAGCAGTTTAGTTTAGCAAGGTGTCACTACAGTAGCTAAATATGCGTAAAAATACAAGCTACAATCAGATCTTTTTGGCTTTACAACCTTAAGACCAAAACAAATCTTAAGGAACCTGGACACAGAGATAATATTGTTTTTGTTTTGTTGCAGCTATAGTTTTAGCAAATATTTAAACAGATGCTGTAATGTGTAGGGGTTTCTGTAACACAAATTTGTCTAGATTATTTGTTTTACTTTGACTGCGCTCTAATTTGTAGGTTTTAGTCATCTTTGTTTGATTTCTTAATAACGTTTGGCTGGTCTGCACCTTTTAGTATTACAGAAATTATGTGACATGTGTCAAATAATTTAATATGTTGGCTTTTGTTGGCCGAAGATGGCACAGCCAAGTGGTCAGTAGTTTAAAATGCATTTCAAATCGATTTAATATAAATTGTGCTGTTTTATAAAAAGGTTTAATTTTTAGTAGTTTTATTAGACAATTTAGAAAGAAATGTATGAATGAAAAGATTTTTTTTGACAATAAAATTATTAAAAAAAAAAATATGTGGCAGTTGTCTCGTGTTTATTTTTTTAAAGCAACAATTGTTGTT